AGATAGTGTGTGAAAAAAAAAAAAAAAAAAGAAGAGTCAACTAGTTCATCACACTATTGAATTATTTATTTAAGAGTATGAGTAAATAATCATTTCGCGGCTTCTCAAATAACATCTTGTTATAAATTTGTCTTTGACCGTCCCTTAAATTGTTTTCTACACAAAATAAATTAGCTTAGGAGTTAGGAGATGATTTTAAATAAATAGTTTGTAAGTTTGCTACTCATATTAACTACTCCGTGGTTTATGAATAAAAAGTATGTCTAACCTTAGCCATGGGTTAGAGTTAATATTCTCATGAATTACTTTAGTTTTAAAAGTAACCGAGTGTCATCTAGATCATCAAATTTCAGTACGGATGCATTGATTAAAATTAATGCCTGGTTAATTAGGTCAATTTTTTTTAAAATGGAATAGATATTCTAAGCAAATACAAAGTGATAAAGAATGAAGATTTGATTATTTTTATATCCAAAAAGCCACCTCATATACACATATACCAATAATACCATTGTTTGTTTCGAGAAGTATATATCTGTATACCAAATTTACGTATATATCTGAACAACGCTCGCATATCGCAATTATACATTACGAAACCATCAACCTTATTATATTAGACCGAGATAGTGTTATTAAAATTATATTTAGATTCTTTGAATAGTTAGACAAATTAAAATTAAGCGTAATTACGTAATCTTTTCATACATTAAGCATAGTTTTATTACTTTTAGCTTAAATTAAAAAAATTAAAATAACCATATATGTATTTATATGTAACAAAAAATTAGTCCTGTGAGATTTTATCACAATCTTAATTTAGAAAAGCATTTAATATAATTACTCTCTTTTTACAAGACAACATTGATTCAATTTAATTTATTTAAAAAAAGATAAATGATGAATGGCAATTTAATTAAATAAAATTGTAATTAAAAAATTTAGAAAGTTATTCGAGGCGATATTTTAGTTAGTTAAATCCAGTAAATTTCCAAGCAGTTACGTGGGGACGCGTGGCCCCCACTCCAGCTGTATCCCAATTAACCGCTTACCGGATAATACCCGTAACCTCCTCATCCTCCTCCTTCACATTTTTTTACCTCTTCCCCCTTTTTCCCTTCCTTTATATTCTCCTCATTCTCTCCCCCCCCCCCACTCTCTCTCCAGAGACCACCGGCCTCCACCTCTTATCCTTCCTCCTCCTTCATTTTCTCTCTCCTCCCTCTCAAAAATTAGGGTTACAGTATCATGGATAACCTTCAAACCTCCTCTTCAATGGCGGCGGATCGTATCAAAGGCCCGTGGAGTCCCGAAGAGGACCAACTCCTACGAAGGCTTGTTGATAAGCATGGCGCTAGGAATTGGTCTGTTATTAGCAAGTCGATTTCTGGAAGGTCTGGAAAATCGTGTCGTCTCCGGTGGTGTAATCAGCTCTCGCCGGAGGTTGAACACCGGGCGTTTTCCGCGGAGGAAGACGATATCATCGTTCGAGCGCACGCGAAGTTTGGGAATAAGTGGGCCACTATTTCGAGGCTGCTTAATGGTCGCACCGACAACGCGATCAAAAATCACTGGAATAGCACCTTGAAGCGGAAGTTTTCGTCGATCGTCGCCGGAGATGAGGTTTATCGGCCGGAAAAACGGCCGGAGATTTCTCACTCGTCTCCTCCGTTGAGTCCGTCGGAATCTGACGTCAGCGATTCCGGCGTTGGTTTCAGGTCGGCGGTTGCGGAGGAGAAGGAGAAGATTGAGAATGATCCGTTGACTGCGTTGACTCTTTCGCTTCCTGGAGTGGAAGAGCAACATCAGCAGCAGCAGCAGCAACCAACGAGTCGGATTGAGGCGATGACTCAGGAGGTGAATCAGAAGAACGATTCGGTGAAGGAAACGATGTCGTTTGGACCTGAGTTGATGAATGTGATGCAGGAGATGATAAGGAAGGAAGTGAGGAATTATATGGCGGAGGCTGAGAAGAGTGGGGTGTATTTTGATGGAGATATTGCTCGAAACGCCGTCGTTGAGCGTTTTTACAATGGCCATTTCCATTGAATTCAATCAAAGGACATGAATCAAATGATAAATGATATGATGAAGAAGGAAGAAATTATCTCCAAAAAAAAAAGAAAAAAGAAAAAAGACATTCATTTATTTTAAATCTTTTAAAATTTCGGTAGTTTCAAATCACAAAATGTATGTACAGAAATGAGGAGTAGAAAATTCAGTGAATTTAGGTTTTTAAAATGGATATGAAGCAGCACATTTTTGGTAGAAATTGGCTTTTGAGTTTTTATTAGGATTTTTTTCTTTAAAATTATTATTTTAAATTATGTTCTCGGTCTTGATAAAATCTTATTATCGGACTTGTTGCATTACTTGTTAAAATCACACAAAGTATTCGCTTCATTTTTAGTTGGACGGGAGTTAGATTCAGTTTAATTATCATGACTTGTTTCACGTATGTAGCCAGATTGATGAATATCGAACACTAGTAGGGAAGTAGCGGAGTAGCCGAATATAAAATCCAATTGTCAAATTTGTTAGTTCGATTTTCATGACATTGTATATCATATTCGTATCTCAATTCATGAAAATCAAACACCGAGTAACCTAAAAATTAATTAAAAATTTTAAAGCATAAAAATGTCACATGGGTACGGAGGTTGTACGGTTTCCGCCAGTACAATCACTGGGACATTGGCCGGTGGGGAAGGAGGGGTATCATGGTCAATTCGATTAGGTGTGATGGGATGTTAATATTAGCTGGACAAATTCGAGTGTGTCTTAATTCATGGGCTGTAACTGTAACTTTCGTAACTGATTATTAGGTCCAATGGGCTCTTAATTGTCGGTCCAACCGTTTCAAGGGTTGACCGTTCTACTCTTGCTCTAACCAACTTTTTTTTTTTTTTTTAATAGCAAAAATATTTCATTAATTAAAAGTAATATGACATTTATAATAGAGGTTCAACGTTAACAAATACATAAGATATTGAATCAAATAAATTTTTCTTCATAAAAACTATGATCGTTGAGTTGATCTTACACTGTGAAACATCTCCCGCTTATATCGCTTGAAAATACAGCCTTGTTGGAGAGACAATTTAACGATCCTTTGTAGCCATGTAAATGTTTTTATTCTGATTCATTTGTCCGTATTCGAAAACTTGATAATTTTTTCACCAACGAAATAATTTCACGACAATCCATAACATCTAATATCATGGATTCAAAAGAAAAAAAATTTCTTCTGAAAAGAGGAGATAAACCTTGTCTTTCGAAGGAGGTTGAAAAACCCTTGTCTTTCGAGAAGATCGAAAACCCTTTCTTTCAAGGGAGAAAAGTTCTTCCCAAAAGAAGAAAGCATTATTATAAACCTAAAAAAAACTTAAAGATACAAAGATTACAACTTTTTACCGGTTAAAACCAATGGAAGCTCTTTCAAAATTTAACAATGAAGGCTAGGGTTTTGAAAAGAGGAAGGATTACTCTGACCAACTTGAGAAGCTTTGAGAAAGTACTCCAATTTCTTTATGTGAAGTTGTGAACCTAACTTGGAAGGAGGATTTTTATTTATTTATTTATTTATTTATTTATTATTATTATTATTATTATTATTATTATTATTATTATTATTATTATTATTATTATTTTTTAAAAAAGGAGGAAGTTGGAACTTGGAAGGTTTTTTTTGTTAATTATGCCTGTAGAACATATCAAATGAATCTAATTTATTTATTTTCAAACTTTTATAATCAACGGTTAATAATTTAGTACTCATGCATAGCAATTTCAAATGTTGTAAGGCAATGAATCAAAGCTAGATTACGAACACGTTCGTAAATGAGTAAGGAAATTCATCAAAATATTTTGTGTATTTGATTTGACTTTAGAAATCTATAAGCGTACTCGTATTAAGTAATGAAAACCATTAAATTTAATGTCGCATCTAACATGTGAACACATATTATGATACATACATAGATAATATTACAAGTTTATATTGACATTAATTGCTTTTAAATACTCTAGATTCTATTCCACAAAATTGGAAATTTACCTTATTCGTTTTTCGTAAACAAATAATTTTGACCGTAAATTTGAAAACTTTGGACTTGTTAGCCTATTTGGGTACAAAATTTCACATGTCTTTTGCTTTTTTTGCTCCTCACCCTTTTGTTTTACAGACAAACACATTTCCGTTAAGACGACCAAATCTTAAATCTTAAATAATTTTGATTCATGCACGAGTTATTAAAAACTTAAGCCTTAAATTCCATTAATCAATAGGAAATAGCTAGTCATAAAAGATTTTGTTGGATTTGTTCAAAAAAAATCAATGACGATGCTATATGTAGCAATTAGAGCTAAAAAAACATTTAATATATTTCTTAATTTGATATTAATTTAGATATGTATGACAAAATCACGTATAAATCAATGTAATTAATGTTTAGCTCATAATCCTAATGGCCCCTAAAAGGGCTATACAATTTGATAACAAGCAATAGTTAACCAAATGAAAACAAGATTTAATCTCACAACCTCAAGTTTGTATATTAAAGTCTTAACCACTAAACCATTTAATTATTGATGTGTTTTCTTAATGTAAAATATTACGGAGTACATAATAGATAAACATTCCGAAATATATAACTTTTATTTTTTTTTGAGGGGATTCGAAATATATAACCTCGAGGTACTGCTCGGGACTTAAAACTAATCTATTAACTAATACTAAAACAAAACATGCTGACATCATTAAGGGACACATATCAACTTCTTACGAAATTTTTTCCCGCCTAAACTATTTTTGACATCATTCTTATTTTTCTCTATTTTTCCACCTAACTTTTAAGACTAAATAAATATAATACTCAGTACTTTTTCAAAATTAATTATTGAGATAATGTTTACACTATTTTTAAATAAAGAATATTAACAACTATTTTAAATAAATAACGACTACTCTATTTAATCCGTGCAACCCACGGAAATAAACTAAGGAAATAATTAAACAAAGAATTAGACAAAATTTGGTGATAATCAAATCTTCTGGAGTCTGGCTGTATATTTTTCGCAAACCCAAAAAACAAAACAAGAGTATCATCATCTACCTATCAATGGAGTACAGAAACAAGAGAGGAGAGAGAAAGTCATCCATGGAAGAAGGCGCTTGATGAAGCTTTTCTTCTTCTCTCACCTCCTTTGCGACTAGCCCACTTCAACTGATCCCCTTCTCATCACACTCTTTTTCGTACTTCTTAAAGAGAGAAAGTGAAAACGCCGAAGAAGAGATCCTCAGATCGAAAGTTTGAAGATGTTGCCGACGACGTCAAAAGGGCGTTTGCCGTCCACTTCTCGGCAACCTAATCCCGTTTTCCCTCATTACCTCCGTCGAATTATCAAGGTAATTTTTTCTATTATTCCCTTTTTTTTGCTGTAATTTTTCAATTGCTTTGTAATTACGCTTGTTGATTCTTCTTTTGGATCTGGGTTTCCCTTCGTTTTGTTAGTTAATTTCGAATATGCAATTTGATCATTTGTGGGTTTTCTTTTTATTTTAATTTTTTTTAAATTTGCTGTTGATCTAATTTTCAGTAATTTACATTGAATATGCTGATTTTTTTGGGTAATTTAGCTTTTAATTTCTGTAATTAGAAGGCTATGTTCGAATTCTTCTCTTTGGATCTGATGTAATTAGACTTTGTAATTGGGATAAACTGCCAATTTTAGTAGGAGGTGAATCAGGCAATGCGGCCCACTTGATAATATATTATTGATGCTTATGGCAGTATTTGCTTTAAAAATACAATATGGCATTGTTTTTTTTACTTGCACATTTGAAATTGGCATCACTGAGTCTCGTTGTGTGATGATCCAAGATATTACTTTTATATGAGTTGTGTTAACCAATTGCATTATACTGCATTGTTTTTTAGTTGCAAGGATCTGATAAGATTATTACCACTCTAGCTTGCTGGTTCTGGGTGGTAACTTAATCTCTGTGAGAGGTCTAGTGAGGCTTTGGAAACGGGACAGGAGTTGATGTTATGTGGATGATTGACGAGTTGATAGTATACATTGTGTTTTGAGTGTGTGGAGAGGAGTGGAATCTGGAGTACTTTTCATCTTGGCAAGGACTGTATAATCTTCCAAAGATTTTTATTTGAATAGCTTTAAGTTTTATATACGTAAAACAGGATGAGACGATCAGCCATCTAGGTGCACATTGATGAACTTGGGTTGTGACCTTTTCAAAATTCTTGCTGGTTTTATTTGGCTTGGAAAGGAGCTTACTGTGAGGATGAAGACTGATGCTTGGTCATCTTGATATAACCCATGGTTTTTAAGTCCACGGATCTGCAACAATTGCTGTATCAGACAATTTGTAGAACTAATTTTACCTGAGTTACAAGGACCCTTTTATGTATTGGTCAGTACAAAGCCAATTTGGGCTGTACACCCTGTTAAAAAATAAAAATAAAAAAATAAAAATGCTGCATCAACTGCAACCTTTTATGACCATTGCCCTTAAGTATGCTATTGAGATGCAGTATTATAACCGCAGCCGAGAACCCTGTGATAGATACGAGAATTACCTGGGTTGATATTAATGTCTGGAAACCGAAAGATAGAAGGATGGTGATTTTACATGAGTTTGGTACAACATCGATGTCCCAGCGCAGAGCTTGCCAGGGGAGGTTTTTTTTGGAGATCATGATGCTAGTAATTATGGATGGAGAGCTCTTACATATTTCAACTGTTTACTAATTTAATTGTTAGGTTGACGATTGAATGTTAACATGTCGAGGTTCTACCATGTCACATGCTCAATCAAGATCATGACTTTTCTTTGAAGGGCTGGTAAATGCCAATTGTAGGGATCAGAGGAGAGAGGAGTAAGGGGGTGCTTGGGGTGAATGTGGCTTACGCTGGTGATATTGATCGTTCATTTCGACTTTTGTTTTACTTAATGGTTTGAAAGAGTAATATTTCAAGTGAGATTTGCTTCAAGCATTGCTCTTGAACCTTACATGAAGTGTGGAACATTATTTGCTGGTGGAAATTAGTGCAATTATCTAAGAAGTTTTTCATAGAAATACATGCAACTATGCAAGGAATCATAGCTGAACAAAGTGAAAGAATTGAATGTGTTCTTGGGGTAAAAGTTGAATCAGACCACTGCAATGAATAATGTTTTTGTAGCTTTTGCCTAGGATGTGCAAATTATGAGATTCCTCATTCCTTAATAGCATTCTTTGACTGGCTCTCACAGATGCGCTGTTGCATATCTCTGACCAATTCTTTTGCTGATGAGGGGGGACCGGGTGAGGGCCAAGACTGTTTTTTAAGTTCAAGCTAGATTTGGATTTGACTATTGGCAAAATTCATATGATTCCTGCTTTCGTCATTCTTGAAGAATCAAATCTGATTTATTGAGGTCAGTTCGAGATCCTAGGGTGCTGTGTTGTTTGCTGGTTGATCATTTGGTAGGAGGGAAGCTGTGTTCATCGTGCTCCAAGGAGGAAAGATGGTTGAATATGTCACGACAGTTTTTTATTTTTTATTTTTATTTGTACGAATAGAAGGGTTCACTAACATAATTGTCCAGTATCTTTAATTGATGCACTAAATCACCGCCTTGCTTTATTATTGCTTGATGATGCTTTCCTGTCAATAAGCGTGGTTCAAATTCCCACATTGGCTTTCGTATCTTTGTTGAATTTCACTTTCCATAAAGTTTTGTGGATTTGACTCTGCTGGAATCTTGCTTGCACATATTTCTCTTCTATAAGCAGGGGAAGGGAGTTTAGAAAGTATAAGCTCATCGTATGTTTCTTTACTTTGCTGATTGTTTGCAGTGGCAACAAATGGATGTTGAATACACCTTCTGGCAAATGCTTCATCTGTGTACCTCACCAAAAGTAGTGTAAGTAATTGTTACCATTTGCCTGAACTCTACTTTTACTATTGGTGGAATCATCTTTTGCTTTGATGATGTTGGATTCTATTCTGAAATTGTGTGAGGAGAGGAACAGGCCTAGATTTTTTTTTTTACTAGTATCAACATTTTCACTTCTTATTATGAGGCCTATGATTGTAGCCAGAGGTCTACTCTTTTGGTTTATAAGAAGACGTTTTTGTTGATGCCCTTTGGTTCACCTGTTATTAGTGGCTTGTGTGTGTCTCTTGTAAATTTAGGGAGTGTATAGAAGTTGTGGTTGTAGGATGTTAGCCGTGTGGTGAGTAAGGGAACCTTTATACCATATCTATTGACGTATTATGTTAATCATCTTTTGAAGGGATAACATGTGTTATTACTAAACTAAGAATACTTTGTAATCCACTTTTCTATTTTTTATTTTTGGGGGTGCAGAATAATGGCTTGATTACCTACACTTAGTAAGTTATACCTGCCATCATCTTGCACCCTCAACAAAATATTATTAACTATATGATCAACCAAGTTTGCATCCATACTCTCTCTCTTATATTGAACTAAGAAAATCAGCATAATAATGTACTGTTATTAGATGTATTGTGACAATTGTCTAACCATGTGTTTTTTTTTTTGGCATATCATATGGTTCAATTATGCAGCTATCAACACACAAAGTACCACAAGCGTAAGTTTTTATTCTTCCCCTTTTCCATGTTTTCAATTATTCAAGTAACGCAACAAGATTAGCTGTGTTGAGTTTAGAGTGGTTCTACTGATTTTGAGATCTGCTATTGCAAGATTGTCATGTGAAAGTTTTCCTTGGTCTAGTTTGTAACTGTATAGCTTTCAAATTGATGGGGCTATATATTTACACATGCCCTTTATGGATGATTGGGCCCCATGAATGTTGCCTGAGCGACACATAACATGTCTTGTATGGGATGAGACATTTGTTGTTCGGTCTCATATCATTTGCAACATCATAGCTTAGTTGAAGAATTTGAATCTGTAGTATCTTGGGCTACTATGTCCTATGTCCTGTTAAGTACGGGAAGAAACTGTTGGATCAACCGAAATTTACTGTGTTTGCTGGAAAAACTACTCATTTACCCTGTACATTTGCCAGTCCCAGCTTAACCTGCTGTCATCCTGTTCTGTGTATTACACAATCTTGTGAGTTAAGGATGATCTTGTTACTTTTTAGTCAATATCTTCTTGAAATTTAAATTCTGTTTTGTATCTGAGTGGCAATTAAACTTCTGGAATGTAAGGTTGATTGCTCCAAAGGTTTTTTTTCCCTGATTGTCTGCATTTCTTGTTTTTTCAGAAACCAAAAATCAATGGGCTCGTGATGATCCTGCTTTTGTTGTTATCTGCAGCCTTCTCTTAGTAATTTCGACTTTGGCCTATTGTGCTGCGTAAGTCTCAAAAACTCTAACTTCTACTTTTCTTTTGCCACTTAATTGTTTTATGCCACACGATTGTAGCAGTCTTATGAAAATTATGGGTGATTATGCAATTTAAAACATTAATAAGTTGGCAAGTTCATTTTAGCTTTCAAGAGCAGAATATACGCACTATCTTTAACGTGCTCTTCTTAATTAAGAATTTTAGAAAATATTGATGCGCATTACTTTGTCATGTGTGCTTCCAAAGAATAGTTGCTCGGAGTACTTACTCTCCTAACAGTAGTAGTTCGTTCATGAAAATATCAAGAAAATATTATTTTCCAAGCTCCGAAAGTCTAGCATTCTTTTGATGGGTTGATAGATAAACAATGATTATCTTTTCTGCCAAACATATGCTAGTTTATAATTTCATTGGTCTAATAGTTTGGGTCTTTTTCTGACAATCATCAGGGTAATCTAGAAGAATTTCTCCCATTTCTTTTCCCCCAAATGCTTACAGTAGTTACAAGGTGTACTTTAAAAATGATCTTATATCTTTGGTCTTTTAAGAACTTCTGAAGAAATAGTATATTGCATTGGCTTCACTTTTTCCAAATAGAACTTGTGTGTTTGATTAAATGATTTTTCCGTAATGACTGCTGTGCTAAGTAGAGGTTATGCAGAAAACATACACCTCTCTTTGGTATGAAGGTTTTGTTACCTTTTATCTGCAACTTTGCCTTTTCCTGTAATAAGAGACTTTCACCTTCAGGAGACAATTTAGCGATTTTCATGGCTGTTGTAAAACATGGAATATTTTGAAACACAGATGAGGAGCTCTACCAGAATTGGCTTCTTGTGCTGTAACAAAATCTATGCAAGAAGATCTAATATAATCTGCATTAAAAAAGTCGTATAGGAGGGAGGAGAGTACTGCTAACCTGCTTCGCTAAATTAGTTTTCAAGGACACAAATCTGACATTGAAGTTTTTGGAATTGTTTAGATGCTTAGATGCATCAGCTGATTTTCTGAAAATTTGATCTTTTTTCCGGTCAAGCTCTGGGAAAGTATACTCTGCCTTTATACAGCTTATTACATCTGTGACTGTCAATAATGCACTGTCATTTTGTTGGAGCTAGGAGGCATGTATTTTCACTTGTCTAACCGAATCACTCAATAATACTCTTTCAGATAGTTGTTGAAGGAGTTATGGAACCATTGCTTGTAATTTTTGAACAGACGCATCAATGTTCCAATTAAAGCATGCGCACTGTCTCTTACTTTCTGTCCTTTATTCCCTCCAATTTAATGACCCAATTTTTTTTTTTTGAACCTATATCGTATTTTGCCCCACTCACCTGTACCCCAACCCCATTATTTTCTGTCTAACAAAATCAAAATTATGGTTCTGTTGACTCTTGACGTTCAACATATGATCATTATGGAAACAAAAATATATGACCTCTCCTTAAGGTCTTTGCTATTTTGCTATTGCTCTTAGAGTCTTAGGTATTGTCTAGTGCAAATTTTCTGACATTGCCTTTTATTGGTACGGAATGCAGGTATGATCATAGCACAGGACATGCTGTTTACGTAGTTCTTTCAGTTTTGCTTTTTCATTTCATCATAACTGGAGCAGTGTTGGCAACCTGTTGTTGGTAAATCCACTCCCTTACCCCAATCCCCCTTCATTCCAAAAAAAGAAGTCCCTTCATGCTCTATATTCTTATGGAAATTTGCCGCTTTTCTTCCTATGCTAGTATGCTGTGGCTTCTCACTTGAATTATTAAATAGGATGTTATTGCTTGCTCAACTAAATGATTCCCAGCTCTGGTATGCTAAGCTATCATGATAAACCTGTGTGCATTAGATAGTACTTTTTTTTTTTTAATGATGAATGAATCATTGAGTGCTTGGCTAGTTGGCTGTGCCTCAGTGGTGGGAAAAATAAATGGAAATCTTTGTATTGTTGATTTCCTGTATTTTAGCTTGGTAATTAGGGTATGCACCTGTTCTTTATATTACCTAGACGCTTATTCCTGTATTCTTTCACTTGGTTGAGCATATGATCCTAGGCCCAATTTATGTATAATGTCTGTGGGTTTTAAGTGGTGGACTCTCTTTAGTAGGTCTGTTCTCTAAATGACATCTACAAGTTTCTTTTTTGATGAATGACATGTTTTATTTGTGGGTTATATAGTGTATATGTTTTGACTGAAAATCTGTATAGTTCCTATTTAAACCAGAGAGACATTTTTGAACTAGATGCTGAATACTGTTGTTATTGATGGGTCTCTGGTAATTTTGTGAGCCAATAATTACATGTCTTATAGCCGACGATCCAGTAATTTTGAAATCGTAAGTAATACAAAGATGCAATTTTGTTTAGTACATGACCTAATTGCTAAGGTCCTTGTTGAATAGGTAAACTTGATCTGTTGTAAATTCTGTCTGGGATGAGTGGGATCTATACACTATGCTATGACCCTGGGACAAATATTGATACTTGATCGAGGAGAACATATGAGGAGAGTGGCTTAATAATGTGAAAGACATATTCTTTGATGATTCATTATGTCACTTTGTGTTTGTGATATGCTGGGTCTTTGAATCATGTCTTGTGAATATATTGATGATGATTTTGCCTTGAATATACAGGTTTCTTACAAATAATTACCTAAGAGAAGAGGCTCCGAATAGTTATGTGGTTGAACAGCGGGTAGAATGGTGAGTTTGGCTTCTGGATTTCTACTTGAGCAAATTATTATATCAATCAGAATGGCCTTCTTTCACGTATACGCTGGGTATCATGAGGGGTTTCTCTCTGTTTACTTTTGGTATTGCATTCTAAAAGCTTGTGATTGCGTTTGACTTGACTGTGTGATTTGGTATGTTAGGCTGTATGCATTTGATGTGCACTGCAATTCTTTCTTCCCGATGTTTGTTTTACTATATGGTAAGTTTCTGTTCTTTCAGGTATTTGCATAAACTTTGTTTTCAGTAACTGGAGACATTTATACAGGCTTACTACTGATTTTTAATGAAATTTTTTTGCTTGCAGTGATACATTACTTTTTGTCACCACTGCTTCTTGCACATGGATTCATACCTGTTCTGTTGTCAAATTTGCTCTTCATGGCTGCTGTGTCATACTACCATTATCTCAACTTTCTAGGTTATGATGGTAAGACTTACATTTTTGATCTGGAAATTTTATTTGGTTGGTAGGACAAGACGGGTTTAAAACTGTTGCTTCATATCCATCATGGCTCAGAATGACTATATTTATCCATATGCGAAAAATTCCATAAGCTAATGGCATATTGTCATTTTAGAGTAGATATAGAGCTTATTTCAAGATTTTGTTTGTTTTTGACTAATCCTTCGTCGTAATGCAGTGTTACCCTTCCTGGAGAGGACAACTTTTTTCCTCTATCCTATCGGCGTTGTTCTAATCCTTTCTCCAATTTGTAAGTATGAGATATTGTTCCTTTATTAGTCGTAAAATTAGCTTTATCAATTACTGTCATGATTTTGTCTGATTCTTATTCTATTTTGTTTATGCAGTTATTCTTAGTGGCTTTAATCCCTCGAGATATATAATGAACATGTACTTCAGTATGCGACTATAATTCTGAGGTCGAAGCTTGTGATGTAAGCACATACAGTGAGCCGGAAACAGTAGATGACAGTAGGCACATGTTGTGAACAGGAAGTGCTATGAATGCCCCTTGAAGTATGAAGATTTCCTGATGGTCATTTGTGGGAGCTTTTGAAATTTTTTACCCTATACGGCCTATTCCCCCCTCCCCCCTTCTTATTTCTACAGATTTTTTACCTTTAATTTTTTGGGGCAATGAGAAATAGGATGCCGATGAAGGGAATTGGTGGATCTTGTCAACAAAATGCTAAATGTAATGGTTCCGCTTATTCTTTTAACCTGTCCGCTCCAGTAGTTCCTTTGTTAAAAGAATTCCGCACTTTTACTAATGTAAACTTGGAAATGTGAAGATAATTAGAGCTTTACAAGCAGTACATTTTCAGGCAAATAGAAAATGTCTTTGTTTCTTCTGTGTATGGGTGTTAAGGTGAACACTTACCTTGAGAGGGGGGAATAAGCTAAGGAAAATCCTCCAAGGCGAGTTGGATGAGAATCGAACCTAGGTCTATCACTTGGAATTCGAGAAACTTGGCCAACTGAGTCAAGCCTCCTTCTCGTATGGGTGTATGGTAGTGTTTTTGTACATTTGAACTGAAATTCAGGTTGCTTGTTTGTTGAATACGAATACACAAGTTTGTTCTTTTTCTGGTCAATGTTGGATAAGGGTGTCTGTAATACACGACTATGTGAGTTCATTGCCACGGTGCTAATTTTAAGTCCCAATCCAAGAATCTTGCACATACAAGAACTTATGTACGTAAAATTTTAGGCTAATGCTGCCGTGTTCTCAAAATAAAGCAAGAGAACAATTTTCTGATTGTTAGAAGTTTCAGAGTTGCTACGCTTCCCTCTAAGACACCTGAATTTTCCGAATTGTAACATCGAACTAATGTAAATTTCCATGAAAATTCCTAATATCCAACTTTGGAGGATCTGAGGACTTTCTGGTTGATACCACCTGAAGAGTCTGTTTGAAGATGGAATCATCTCTCCAACCTACCAAAACTCCCAACTATAACATAACAAAGAGGTGGGAGAGTCCAGAATCCATCAGGAGGATTAAAGCATCTCGAAAACCTGCAGAGTTTATAGATGGGGAATTGAGCTGACCAACCAGCATAACCTCTCAATTATGCAGGCTAACAATTTGGACTTGGAAGAGCATAGACCTGGCAATCCTCAAGAGCATGAGGGCACGGAGGAAGGGATGCCATGGAAATTTCTTCAGTTCCGCTTTTCCTTTACTGTCTTTCTACTTCCGAGCCTGGAGTGAATTCCAACAGCATTCTAGTACATGACTGCTCTTGAGTACCTGTCTCTATCACAATGCTACGGATCAACAGTTCTCCCAGAATGGCTCCCTTGCTTCACATATTTGCGGTTGCTAGTGATATCCAGCTGCTCTAAGTTGAACTCACTGCCAGACACAATGTGCCAGCTCACTTCCCTAAAATCACTTAAACTGAAGAACTGCTTTGGCCTGACGAGAAAGAAGATGTAGTGCCTAGTGACCCCAAGGCAGGAAGGACTAGCCAAATTTAGTTATATCCCTAATTTTCATGTATGTTGCACAGCCACATCCTCTGAATCTCTCTGTCCAGGACTAATCCAGGCCTTCCCTCTTAAACTGCCCTGCTGTTCTCAGATTACTAGTGCTACATTTTGTTTATAAGATGACCTCTGCAATGCCGTTTTATTTCATCTAGCAACTTTTATCATTATAAGAAATTTAGTTTAAGACAAAAGTGCTCTTTTCTTTTTTAAGAATCTAAAAAAGATAAACCACAATTGAAAATTAATTTCATGTATTTGGTTCCTTGCAAGAAGGGTTGGGGACAAAATGAAAAATGGAAATGGTACGGGGAAAAGGGAAAGAGGAATGTAAGATAAACAAAAGGAATGGCTTCCCTTACGAAGAAAAAATGCTTTACACCCTGCAGAGAACTAGTATTTTTAACAATTGGGAAACCTGTTTCCCATTCTTCCCAAACCAAACCCAAGAAAATGGGAAATCACCTTTCTTGGAAAATATTTTTCTCACTATTAAAAACTCTTACAAGATGCTGGCATTTCCGCGCTCACCCTAACAATTTGAAGTCAAAAGCTCTTTCGACTTAGCTGAGTTGCAAACTGATCAGCAGCAGCACACGACGCGGATCCTATTGACCCTTCATATCTGTGTAACATGATGAAAATTGAAGTTACATGTGAGGAACAAAAGAATTGCTACGCACAAACACACTTGAAAGTGCAATTTGCATTCGAAATATGATCATCTGCTTGACAGTATTCTAGGAACAAACTGTCATTAAATGTGAGGAACAAAAGAATTGCTATGCACAATCTCACTTGAAAGTGCAATTTGCATTCTAAATATGATGATCTACTTGGCAGTATTCAAGGGACAAACTGTTAATTGTTTTTTTTTTTTTTTTTTTTTTTTTTTTTTTTTTTTTTTTTTGTGACTTGTTGATTGTGAGGAACAAAAGAACTGCTATGTACATATTCACTTGAATGTGCAATTTGCATTCTAAGTATGATTATGATCTAATTGGAAGTATTATAGGAACACATTGTCTCCATAGTATGCAGTAGGTATGAATAGATTAATGGATTATTATACTTACAAGGCTACTAAGAGAAATGCTGCTGTTTGCATCACCACGACACCTTCACCTGAGGGCTTTGTTGTGTTCATGCACCTTGCATGAAACCAGTTCTCATGAATTGAAGTTACCACGTCTACAACGAAAATGCCAGGGGTTAAGAAGGCCAAAACAGTAGTGTACTAGAAGCCGTAACATCTAACCAAAAATTGCACTTCCACAACTTAATTTGAAAGTCATAACTTAGATCCTTATTAATTTAAGAATAGTAACAATATGGGTACTGAACATCATTTTCACAACCTATAATATGCAACATATTTTCATTGATTTAAGGAGAAGATTACTCAATACATATCAATATCATTGTATCTGAGGGAGTAGAACTTTTCATCAAAGCTACAAAATTAAAGCTGCGATTCTACAACAGCTGAGGCATACTACGTAGGCTTCCCTAGGCTATTGTCCAAGGTAATAACACAGTCGGATATACATCTTTATTGATCACGGAGGACAACAGAGAGCAAGAAACTTTCAAGTCAGATTTTAAAAACAAAGGTTCTCTTTGTGTTGTTGCTTCCAAACAATAGAAATTGATTTGTAGTCATTAGTTGAGCACAACTCACATTCATTTGGCCCAAGGAGGAAGGTCTCAGTCTGCAACTTGTTGCGCTTTACAAAGTTTACAAACTGACTTAGTTCAATAGGATCTGCTCTATATCCTTCTTGCTCTGCGCTGCAAATGCCAAATCAACCATCAGCAAGCTATATGCCTTTTCAAAGTACAGCTAACAGAAGTACGATGAAAAAAATTAAAAATTCTTAGTGTTACATTAATCTCCTTTTTTGAGCTACTAGATAAACGGGAACATAATTCAGAAATTTGCACAGCTTAACAATGTTGGATGCGTCAATATGCAGATTGCTGTTAGGTGCCAGTGCAAAACTGTCAAAGTCATAACCTCTGATCAACACATATTTTATCCTTCTACCAATTTATCTTCAACCATGTTACACAGCATTAGGCCCTATACAACCCTATTATCGACTGTTTTGATTTTTTTTGAGTTAAATAGAAACTATCAAGTCTTCACACCTATTGGAGTATTGAATATGGAATATCCAACAGGGACGCTTGAGATTAAAAGACAATCCAAGCCAAATAACATAGTCCTTGAAACAAAGAATCATTTATATGATCAAGTTAGGCAAAAGAAAACTGTTTCCTTTTCAAATCATCCCAATGATACAAGAAACAACATAGTGATCATTTATATTCAAGACAATTAAGAGATCGATGGGCAAATTAACTAACTATAATTTTGCCTCCATGCTACATTACTTATACTCGGGTACTCGGGTCAGTCATGGCCCACATGGGTATATGTCCAGGCGCTCGGCTTGGCCACTTTGTTAAAACATTCCATGATTTTGGCACAACATTAAGTGTAAGAGTATTCTACTAATTTTGGGGATTCGACACAGGTACTTCTACTTGAGGTGAAGTGAAAAGTATGTGCTTTCAACTTTTCAAGTTTAAAACTATAAGAATCAAAACAAATGCAAAAATCACTGCAAAATAATAAAATGTCATACATGGTTGATAAGAGGCGTGAGGGTCCTGTAGGATCATAGTTGACAAGTAATGCAGCCTTTAAAGGTTGCCCTACAAATTGAAAAGCAGATTCAACAAATTGTTCATGTATATTAATAAGAATTTAAATAAAAAAAACCAATTCAAACCCAGAAAATCAATATTTCTAACCTGAACCTACATAATCAGGTGCCCATTTATCCCACAATCTATGAACAGCAGTCCAATCCATTCATAATCAGGCCCGTCCCTGAGGCAGGGCAGGAGGGGCGACCGCCCTAGGACCAGGGAAAAGAGATTTGATTTCATATTGAATTATCTCGAAAAATACATAATTTTAGGGATACTTGATTCAATAATCAAATTACGCTCCTAATTTTCTTTCTTTTGGATATGATGTTTCATAATCTAAGAATTTGCGAACCCTAAACTTAAAGCACTGATAATTAAATTAGATTAGATCAAATATAAACCCTAGATTGTGAAATTGATGTGATGATAACAACAACAAACAACTTACCTTAGAAGCTGCTTCAATGGGGGATACAAGAATTAGATTCAACGGAGAACGCTTCGATGGAGAACGTTGAGTGCGCTTCAATGGAGAACTTGAGTGCGCTGCAATGAAATAACTCAAGAGACTTAGGACATAGAAATGGAGGCCTTTAAAAGCCATGACCCGCCATAGTTATAATATAAATAAATGAGGCGGGTTTTTATATGATCGTCTAATTATGAGACAGATGGACTTTATAAAGGTTTTATGTAAATATGTTTAAAATATTTTTAGAAAATTATCAATAGTACACATAAGGTTTGGGCCTTTATTAATAGTACACCTGCTAAACTATCGTTTATCAACGGTACATTCAAGGTTTTATACTATTATTAGCCGTACACCTACCGTTAGACAAACGTTAAAAAAAACGTTAGTTTTGGCTTTTTTAACTTAAAAACTGACACGTGGCGACCTATAATTGATCCAAAAAAATAAAAATAAAATAAATTTTTTAAAAAAGTTAGATTAATAAAATAAGATTTTCTCTCTCCTCCAAACTTCCAGCCTCTCCTTCAAAACTACACTAACTCACAACATCTTACCCAAATCCATGCTAAAATCATCCGTTCAAATCTCTCTACCAACCCAATTCTTGCCTCCCAGTTACTCCACCTTCATTCTTCCTTTGGCAATCTCAACTGCGCTTCTTCAATCTTCCATCGAATTCAATCTCCTTCAACCTTCTCCTGGAATCTCATCATCAGAGCTCATACAATCAACTCTTCTTCTTCAAAGTCTCTCATTTTGTACAATCTTATGATATGTGCTGGGGTACCACCTGATAAATTCACCTTCCCTTTTGTCATTAAAGCTTGCGCTGCTTCTTCGGCTGTTGAAAAGGGTAAGGAGGTTCATGCTTCTGTTATTAAATCTGGGTTTTATTGTAAAGATTTGTTTGTTAAGAATACCCTTTTGGATATGTACTTGAAATGTGGGAGTTTAGAGTGTGCACGCAAGGTGTTCGACGAAATTCCTGTGAAAAATGTTGTGTCTTGGACTACGATGGTTTCGGGTTTGGTTGGATTTAGGGAGTTAGATTGTGCTAGAAAACTGTTTGATCAAATGCCTGTGAGAAATGTGGTTTCTTGGACTGCTATGATCAATGGGTATGTGTCGAATGGGAGGCCTCAAGAGGCGTTCGAGTTGTTCTCCCAAATGCAGGTTGAAGGAGTGAAACCTAATGAGTTTACTCTTGTTAGTTTGCTGAGAGCGTGTACCGAGCTGGGGAGTCTTATTTTATGGTGGTGGAAGGGAAGAGGAAAGAGAAAGGAAGGAGGAAAGAGAAGGGGAAGGGTGGTCAGAGGGGGGTGGGATGTCTGGTTGACTGCTGGAAGTTATGGAGGAGGAGGAAGGATGGAGGAAAGAGAAAGGAAGGAGGTAGGAAAAAAAAGGAAAAAAATAAAAATAATGTTGTTTAAATAAAATTATCAAAATTAAAAATTAAAAAAAATTATCTTATTTTATTAATCTAACTTTTTTTAAAATTTTATTTTATTTTTATTTTTTTGGACCAATCACAGGCCGCCACGTGTCAGTTTTTAAGTTAAAAAAGCCAAAACTAACGTTTTCTTAACGTTTGTCTAACGGTAGGTGTACGTCTGATAATGGTATAAAACCTTGCATGTACCGCTGATAAACAATAGTTTAGCATGTGTACTATTGATAAAGGCCCAAACCTTGGGTGTACTATTGATAATTTCCCAATATTTTTTGATATTTCTATATGTCAAAGCTTGTATCAATTCTTTGAAAGTTTTTAAGAGTTTTTTTTTTAAAAAAAACAGCTAAAATTACCTTAATTAAACTGAGTTTACAACAAACAAAAGGACAGTAAGTAACATAAGTTACTATTGGCATAAGAAGCCCTTACGCAATATCAATTAAGGTCATTAACGACATTTACTATTTAGTTATTACAACGAGTAAGGACAACGCATATAAGGCTTACCAATATACATTTAAATATGCGATGAGACTATTGATAGAACGAGGGAAGTTGGTGATGATGTTTCGTGTTGTGCAAGATATTTTCTAACATACAATTAAAAGTCTATGAATGTTGGTGAAATGACGGAAACAACCCAAAATCAGTATGTCTTACATTAAGGGACCCTAATAATTTTAATGTATAAAATCCTCTTGAGATATATGCTTCATACATGTCAATCACATTTCTTTGTAATCTGACAAAACCATATCTTATACTCCGTCTGTCCCATAATATAGTTCCAATTTTGTTTTTTTCACGGTATTTAAGAAATGGGAGGAGAAGTGGAAAAGAACTAGACAAAAGTACAAGGCAAGTGGATAATATAAGGGGAAAAAGGTAAAAAGTTAAATATAGACAAAAGTTAGAGAGAGAAAGCGAAAAAAGTACAATGCAAGTGGATAAGTTAAGGGTAAATTAGGAAGTTCAATGAATAAAGTAAAAATTAAGGGTATAATGGTCTTTATATACTATTCAAAAATAGAAACAGGAACAACATTTTGGGTCTCTAAAATAGGAAAACAAAAACTATATTGTGAGACAGAGGGAGCATATATTCTCATACAAGGTCATGATGTTGTAATGACTTTTACCGATATCACATACAAATGAGTTTAACAACACCTACTACGCGTTTATGTAAATCTGAAATTGAAATTTTGCTACATCTCCCAACAAATATAAGTAAAACCACTTCCACTAAAGGAATACATTTTTTTTAAAACTAAAGAGATTAAAAACGACAATTTCAAGAGTCAAACGACTCCATTTCATCCTCCAATTTACCCTGAATTCGACCTGTCTTCGCTTTTCGATCTATTATATTGAATGCTTCGAAAATCTAAGTTTTAATTTTTAGAAAAATTCACTATAATTTATTAATCCGAACTTTCAGCAATTTACTCTCAATAATCCCAAATTACGTTAATTAGAGAGCACTACAAACTTTTGGGTTGATTTTCTTCCACTAGATCGATTAACCAGTGACTTAAAGAAAGGGTGATTTTCATTTTGTAAAAGCAATATGTGATGTGTCACAACATAATTGGTCCAAATTTTTTTTGTAAAAAAAAGAAAAAAAAAATTAAAAACCCTTCCCAGCCAGCTACCATCCTTCCTCCCCTTAGCCCCAACCCCCGGCCCGACCGAAATTCGACCGCCCGCCTCCCCTAGCAACCGATAACAGCCAGTCAACCCTTCTCTACCCCTAAAAACACTCTGGCGACCCACTTACACCATCGAAACCACCCCCCTTCCCCCATCCCCCAAATAGCCCCTCTCTTCTCAGGTCGATGAAACTGCCCCTCCTCCCTTCCCTTGTCGTTGAAACGACCGATTTTTTAGCTCCCTCGATTGGAGATTATTGCCAAGAAATTAAATGCAGTTGTGTTACTCAAGGTTTTTGTGGTAGATTTTTTTAGATTTTTTTCTTACAAAAAAATAAATAAATAAATGGTAGTTAGTTGTTCTCAAAGTAGTCATTATAATGGTAGTTGTTGGTAAAATTATCTTTAATTTTCACAAAATTACCCTATATCTAAAGTATAATACTCCCTTCTTCACTTTTTATTGGATACATTTTGACTTTTACACGTTTTTCAATACACACATTTGATTATTATTCATTACATACTTTTTAAAATTATAACGATTGAATATTAATAGAGCATTTGTTGAGATGAATCAAACATGATCTCACACGACTCTTTTACTTTTGTGAGTAAATTTAAATATTATCTAATTCCCTCTATCCCAGAATACATGACATAGTCAATATTGCACGCATGTCAATGCATTATTTTGAATTTATTTGTATATAATTAATTATTATGAAAATTATTTTAAAATTATATTTTGAAACTTTATATATATACCTATTTAACAACATAATTTATGATAAAATAAGTTTTTATTATGTTAGTAAAAAAATATGATCAAAACTAATACATATATAGTGAAAAAAGTCCAACGTCTCATATATTTTGGGACGGAATGAGTATTATGAATAACTTTTAAAATTTAAACATAACCAATAAAAAGAAACGGTTGAAGTATTATGAATAATATTTAAAATCTGATAATAACCAATAAAATACGGAGGGGTACCCTACAAAAATCATCCTAAAGTTTTTGTAAAAAAAAATCATCCTAAAGTAATTGAAACACTTTAATATACATTTTGTTGATACATAACATTATTTTACCTTTAATAATTTTGATCATATATTTATTATAATTAGTTAATACTATGAAATTTTATACAATGTATCAATTTTTTTGTGCATATTATTTATAGAATTCAAGTCAATCTCGTAACAAATTATGCCGATTAAAATTGATGCCACTTTAAAAAATGGAGGAATTATTTTTCTTGCATTAAATGTTTGAATTAATTATAATTGTAGTTATATAAAGATATCTTAATGAATGTTATTTTTTTTATAGTAATAGTTTATATAAAGTTATCAAAATCAAGATTCCACTTTGAATTGGAAGGGATTTAGATGTGTATGTGTTACTGGTGATAGTAGTTGTTTTAGAAGTTTTCTTACAAGTTTTTATTTCTTACATGAGAAGGTTTTTCTTGTTTTAGGCTTAATATATTTTAATTATGCAATTTTATTTTGACAATAATTATTTTTACGATATAGGAGAATCGAGTGAGATGATTTTTAAGTGGTTGATAATTTTATTTGGTATGTATACATGTATGGATTTTTTAATATTCGCATAGTATCTTAATAGGTATTTTATATAATTTGAAAATTAAAGTGTCATCATTATAAGAAGATTATGATTCTTGGATTGTTTGATAAATTCTATTTAATGACATGTTTACAAGCATGATAATAAATGATAATTTAATTATGAGATGATACATTTATGAAACATGATTATTATTGATTTCTCATTCATAATTATAGATTGAAAGAAGTAAGTCAATTTAATACTCTTTCATAGAATGAGATGAATCAAAGAAATTCAATGTAGAAGTGTAATTATGCACATTTTGTGTGTGTCATAACCATGTAATAAATTGATTAGTCCCAAAATAAATTATCACATATAACTATTTAAAAATATAATATTCTAACGAATAAGTCACAAAAGAAATTAAAAGAGGTGTGTGAATAGTGAAAAAATGTAAATAATGCAATTAAAATAATTGATGAAATCTAATATATATAAAAAAGTAGGCATTTTTCAAGAGCATTCGGAGCGCCACATAAGCAAAGGTATATTTTCGACCAATTAAAAATTAGATTTCTATTTTATTTTGGAATTAAAAAATTTCGTTTGCCACCTAAACAAAATTGGCGAATGAGATTTAAGAATTTTTCCACGTAAGTAAAAACAACGAATATTGATTTATTAGGATTAAATTTATTTTAAAAACTAAAAATTATCTTTTAAAATAATCATCTTTAGATATAGGATTTATATACGTACTATTATAAGATAAATTTTGATTGTGTTTATGATAAGAAATAAAAATTATTCCTTAATTATAATTAAATTAAAATTTGTGACATTTAGATGAAAAAATTCCAATGCATAAATTTAATTTTATATAATTACAATTTTTAGATTAATTTCACAACAATTATTCACTTTCTGGTAAATATTTTAATATGTTTTATAAGACTATAAAGATTAATTTTATATAAATTTTATTTTTGCGAACATATTCTATTTATCCACTTTTATTAGATGGAAGAGATATCGGTGTGAACTAAGTTGGTGATCCTATCGAAATTTTTTTAATACAAATTTTTTTTACATCGAAATATTACATCTAATAACTTTATTTTTAATGTAAAAAATATTATGAGCATAATCTGATTACAAAAATTATGTTTATGAGATTTTATGTATAAAAAACCGTAGGATATTAGGATTTAAATTATTTAAAAAAATAAAAATTATCTTATGAAATTAATGGTTTTATCTAAATACCCGATTTATAAGATGTTTTTTTCATAAAAAAAATTTAAAACTTTTAACCCAATAGAAATTTTACCTTCTGTAAAAATTTTATGCTTAAAAATTTTAAAAGACAGATAATTTGTTAGAGATCAAGAGATCACAAGAAATATACATAATGATATATAGATTTGAGAGTTTAATTTCAAGTGTAAAAAGCAACGAATAATGATTTAGGATTTAAATTATTTTAAAAATAAAAAATTATTATATTTTCACATTAAAGATTTTATCCTAATATGTAATCAATGAAATATCATATTTACAATTTTTTTTTTTTGAAAGATATCATATTATTGTCATATAACCAAGAACAACGAATAAAATACAAAACAACAATAAATGAAGTCGCGATATAAATTACATTAAAAAAATTATACTTTTGTAATTGACAATATCATTTTAACTAAATTATTATTTGTTTTTATTTTTTTTGTCTGAAATTATTAAATTGTAAAATAAGTCATATATATATATATATATATATATATATATATATATATAAAAACTTAGAGTATATAAGAAATATCTTTTCTTGAGATATATGTATGAAAATCCGTGCATCGCACAGGCTTTCATCAAATTATTTTACATATTATTTAAATATATTCTATTTAAATAAAAAATATTATGAGTATCAATATTTCCTTTCTCATATTTACAATTTATTTATATTTACAATTCATTTATATTTAATAAATTTATATTTACAATTTAATAATATTTATATTTAAATATTATGAATTCAGTAAAAACGAATTAGATGAAAAAATATCATATTTACAATTTATTTATATTTAATAAATTCATTATAAATTATAGTAAAAAAAATAAATATTAAAATTTTGTAATTTTGTTTGAAATTATTAAATACAATAAATCAAATAATTAAAAATCTTAGATGAAAAAACCGTGCATCGCACGGGCTTCCATCTAGTAATTAACAAATTATAGTAGAATTCTTAATTAGACAATAAAGCTATAAATGATTTTTGGGTAGGTTAAAGTTATGAAATTTCACAAATTTGGTGAGAGAGAAAGAGAGGGGAACTTACAGAAAGTGAAGTAGAAATCCAAAGCCAACACCGCTGATTATGTTTCCGGACAAAAGTCGGTGCCGGAGAGTGGAAGTTTCTAGCTGGAGGAGAAAGAGTGAAAGAGGGAATTATAGGAGGAGAGTGCTTCACTGTTTTGGGGCTAAACAAACAAGGTTGTGCTATTGTGCATGAGTCGGGTATTCGAACCGATATATAAAAATAGGATCGATATACAATGTTGAATTGTTGATAACTAAATTTCAATAACTACACCAAAAATCCGAATTTTAATTTTGGATCAAATAAGATACTGAGTATGCAAATAAAAGTAAAGAGCGTTACTCACTTCGTTTTATTTAAGAGTCTTAAATTGATTCCTACATTATTTACATACGTCAATTTGACCATTATCAGTTAAATTAAAGTACTTAAATAAAAACATAGGACATATATGAGATAAAGACAAATGAATAACCAATTGCTCGCATCTTTTGACAAAGTGAAGAGTATTTTGGTATAATAGCTAGTCGATGAAATGGTAATAAATTAAAAGCGTTAATTTTGAGGGAATTGTATGAGATCAACCGAACTTGTCAATCTATTGCTTCGTCACTGCTTAGTCATCAAATTAGACATTAATAGTCCATTGAATAGTCCATTGAAGGCTTAAAGTTTCAACCTTCCTTCCACCGACACCACCCACCTTCCCCGATTTCCAGCTTCCATCGACACCACCAATTCCACCATTGTCGACAGTCCAACTCCGTCTGCATCACCTCCTCTTACACCGATACCATGTGCGTTGTCTCTAGTTCTCCACCTTCCACCAACACCATCTTTATCATCTCTAGCCACAATTTACCGATGACATCACGACAACTTCGCCACCAAATCAAACGATATTCCTATATTAAAAGGGTAAAATTAACGACATGGTTAACCCTAAAGGAAGGGGTGCTATCCTCCAGGACCAACTCAACCAAAAGCTTAAGCTGATGGTTGAGGCCCAGGAATATGTTTTTATACTTTATTACGTCCTCTCACATGAAAGCCCTTTGGGCTTGAAATGTGGATCAGCATGAGTCTTTTGCATACCCTGCGCGAAATATTCCACTTGAAAGTAGGGGGTTGATGAGATTCGAACTCGTAACCTTTGTATCACGCTGGATTCGATTTCATATTAAAGGACCAACTCAATCAAAAACTTAAGCTAATGATTAAGGCCCAGGAATATGTTTTTATACTTTATCACCTCTTTCATTAACTCTTCCCTTGGAGCTTCAATTTCTGCCTAAAAAATTCTGAAATCGCCATTTATAATCGAAACAGAAAATAAAAAAAGGATTTCGTGCCGTGCTCACCATCAACGCCTTCTTGTCGGTGGTTGCCGACAACACGGACTTCGCTCTGGTGGTGGATGTGGCTTGGTGTTTATGGTGGTGGTTTCGCCGGCTAAGGAGCAAATGTAACGTTTTGGTTATTTGACAATGGTGATTTGGTAATATTGCCTCATCATTGCGTTGTTAACTTGTTATTACCAAACTGGCCTTTACTAAATGAAGGAAAAATCGAAATTCACCTTATGATCAACAAGTATTTCCTCTTTAATTTTATCGATTAATTAACTATATATAAAAATTACGCCCTCCCTCCATAATTATCTGCAACATTTGCCATAAATGAGTGCTCTCTATTAAGTAATAAATTTTTTTCTTTCCTCTTTTAGTAAATTTTAAAGAGTAAAAAAAAACCACCTTACTCTTACTTTTATTTTTTAACATCTTTTAATTACTCTCAATTTTCCACCTTTTTTTCCACTCATAAAAGAGACCCTCAATTTTTCACCTTTTTCTCACTCACTTTAACCCATCCAAAAACAAAAAAAATAAGGGACCACTTCTTTCCCTCCTTTTTCACACTTAATTAAACCCACCTAAATTTAATTAAACTCCACTAAAATTTTTGCCTAAGAGTTCGCAAAAAGAACGTTTGGTGCAAATAATCGTGGGCGAAGGGAGTAATTTTTTTAAAAAAACCACTTTTAATGATTACTTTGACAAGAGTAATTATTAATCTAGATAATTTCCTCCTTTACTTGCATACTACATTACTACTCTGTCGTCACAAAATTAAGTTAAATCCCATAATAAAAAAAAAAAAAAATCAGTTTACAAAGACCACATTTTAGCATTGTATTACTTCACAAAATAGAATACAATCAAGTTCATAAAAGAAGAAAAGAAAATATAACAAGTAAAAAGTGTCGCTCATCAATTACAGGCAAAAGAAAAACTACGCAATACTTCAGAGGAGTATTCTTTCAAGAACGAACAGAATAAGTCAATTCATGGAGCAAAAGTAAACTCATTAACCATCAAGCCTGCTTCCGGCAACATCAACAACGAACCGGTATCGAACATCGTTCTTCTCGAGCCTTTCCATTGCTTGATTAATGTAATCCATCTTAACGATCTCAATCTGAGAAGTCACACCTTTTTCATTGCAAAATTGCAGCATTTCCTCTGTTTCTTTCATGCTTCCTATAAAGCTTCCTGTAATGGACTTCCTCCCTAAACATAGTGTACAAAAATCACATTAGTCATTTGTCACAATACCATACACGTTAATTATAATGTATTTCTGTCATAATTTGTCAATTACATCATATTAGAAGTTAAGTCATGATTAAGAATATCTCACCTAATATAGTTGTTATTTTGATGGTCTAACATTGTACAATACTTTGTACTTAATTGGATTATGAGATTATATTAGTTTCAATATTAATATGACAACATGTAACTGATTTTTAAGTTAGCCGTAATTGTTGAAATAGCCTTGCTACTGTATGTCAATTGAAATAGAATGACTTGACATGACACCATATCTTATTTATACCCTATAATAAGTTAATAGTTGTAATTTTGAATAAATCCAAAAAAAGGTGTGGGGGAAATGATGATGTAATTGTCTGAGTAGAAGAATCCGAGGTTTAGATATATTTTGAAAAAACGTTGGTTTTAGAGGTATTATTTATAAAGGACCCTCATCATATATTTATATATCTACACAATGAAAATTAATCTCCAATCATAATTGATTTCAGAGAAATTTAGATAAAGTCAATACAGATTAATTGAAAGTTGAATTATAAAACGTTATTCACCTTATATACCAAAATGCCCTCAAGACTAAATGATTTTATAAAGGAAAAGGGGCTCGAGACTTACCAAGCATGACCATCGGGGTGAGAAAAGAAAGAGGAGTATTAATAACACCATTCAAAATCAACTTGCCATTCAACTTCAAGAGAGGAAGGTAAGGCTCAAGTGGGTGAAACACAGGAATAGTGTCAATAATATAGTCAAGTGAGTCAGCCAATTCTTGCATTTTCTCAGCATTTGAGCTAACCACATATTGATCAGCACCCAAATCATCCAATGCTTCCTTTCTTTTCTTATCAGATGAGCTTATGACTGTCACATTATGGCCCATTGCTTTGGCTATTTTCACTCCCATGTGGCCCACACCACCAAGGCCCAAAATCCCCCCTCTTAGCCCACTCTTGTTTAACCCAAAATGTTTTAGTGGGCTGAATATTGTTACTCCTGCACATAATAGTGGGGCCGCTTGGACTGGTTCCATCCCTTCTGGTATTTTCACTACAAATCTGCCAATAAATATAACACATTTTCATGTTAAGTTTACTGTTTATTAATGCGATATCTTAGTTGTCACGAGATATTTCAATTAAAAGTTAGGAGAGTCCAATGAAAGTCCAATCGACTATGGAGTTTCAAATTTAAATTAGTATTACGTACTTTTGATCTACAATCATGTTAGTGGCGAAGCCACCTTGCGTGGGGTTGCCATCGGTGTAGACATCATTATAAGACCAAATCTTCTTGTTGCAATATTGCTCTTCTTCCGACTTGCAAGGGTGGCAGTTCCTACAACATCCAACGATCACCCCAATTCCGACGCAATCACCTACTTTGAACTTGCTCACGTTCGACCCTACCTCCATCACTTCACCCACCACCTCATGTCTGCATGGTGTAAACAGGTAATAAATTTTATATACTAAAATCATTGACACATAACAAATAAAGTGCTTCTTTATGATGAATTTAATGACACGTTGATAGTGTAATTTGAATCAGTTTTATAACCAATTATTATATTCAAACTAATTAGGAGACAAAAGTGGGATCGCTAATGACACACTTTTCTACTTTTATTTATCTACAAAATTTAGATAAACTTTCATGATTTGTAAGACTTTAGGTACACGTACACCTTATATTTTCAAAATTATGGGTGATGAATGGGTCCGAGATAGAATTTTTTGTACCTTAAAATTCTTATATTAGGTGCGGAACATGTCATTTTAGGATTGGTAAAACAAAACGCTTTTGATTAAAGATGACCAACTTTAAAATTATGTAATCATCTCACAGGCAAGATCTTAAAAATTATAATTAAGTTAATAACCATGATGAGTGTTCAGGCTCTGTATATCAAAATAAATCTATACTTTAGTTCCAAATTTTATAACATGATATTCATATTATGTCATATTTTATGTGAAGCAATTTCCTAAGGGTTGAAGCAATACGACAATGAATTCATAATAGAGGGACTAGTGGTACAAAGTACAATCATAAAAAATACGACGAAAAACAGAGATAAATTAAGGGATCGAATACAAACCCAGGAACCATGGGATAACGAGACATGCCAAGGTCATTCTTGGCCTGATGAAGATCAGTGTGACATATTCCACAGGACAGTACTTTTATGTATACGTCTTCTTCTCCTGTATTCCTGTTTTACACATTTACCATTTTTATTATATTACTTTGCCAAAATATAATTCGTCCATACATATTTGAAAAATATATACAAAGTATATACCTGTATTAATTAATGAAAATATGAAAACTAAGGGATAAAAAAATTATTACTTATGGTACATGCAACTATGCAAGATCATTAAGTTATTTATGGCCCGCAAAACCATTACTCAATAAGATACGTAAACTAGTTCTTTGCTTAATACATTTGATGTTTAAGCACGAAACAATTCAACTTTGATCAATATAATCGAGTCTAATCATTACAATCAATTCAGTTCAGTTTAATAAACAAAGCAATATCCAATTCAATTTGAATGACCCTTTTAGCGTGTCAACTTATTATAAGCCGAGATCATATAGATAACAAAACAAATGCTCGAGAGTGAGATCGAGTACCTTAGAGGGAAGGAGTACGGCGAAAGAATGCCCGAGGAGTCTCTAGCAGCCCACCCTTTGATCACCCTTTCTGATTCTTGTTTACCCATCTTATGTTACCTTTTTTTTTCCCTTCAAATATTTAGAGTGGAATCTGAAAGAATTGAGCTGAACTTTGAAGAAGATTATGAGTTATAATTTATAGTTGTTGATATATTTATTATTGGTAGGAGTGGAAAAGAGCTTAGAAGTGGAAATATATACTGGAGAAAAAGGAAGATATGTTATGAAATTATTATATATAGACAGGCGTAACAAAAGAAGGAAAATAAATGTTTAAAAATACGATTTTGTTTTCTGTTCGTGTTTTTAATTTTGTATTTTAGGACTAAAACTCTTAAGAGGTTGGTGAAAGTAGCAAAATAAAAAGAAATGAGGGCAATATCAGCAATAATTGTTTAAATAGGCCAAAGCGCACTCACGGCATATTTAAAAGGTTGTACGTTAAAGAAGGTGCTTTTGTGGTAGGTAAACCCATTGAGGTTGCTGCGTCACTTAGTCGTCATTGTCAAGAAACCTAACCATGATTGAGCGTAAAAAGTCACTCCGGATAAATTATAAACGTCGATATAAATTTTGGCTTAAACGTGATCATTAATATTTTAGGATAAAAACAAAAAAAAAAAAAAATCTCATATTTGGCGCTTTTAGATAGATAATAGAACGATGATCATTAGAATTAGTGGAAATCTCGGTAGAAGGGAGTTAATTTAAACTGAAGATTAGTTTAGAGAATTTCTTAATCTCGTATTTACCTAATTGGGCAAGGACATTTTTTCATGTACCTCTATCTATTTCAAACAAATTAGAAGAACTTCATGTTTATTTACATGCATGGGAGGTATTCTAGTTAATTGTATCAATAGCTACCTACCTCTAGTAGAACGGTCTAATCATTCATGAATAACTTCACCAAAACATGAAAGAGTCAATTTTGCTCCATGATCTCATTAAACACTTTTCCCGTCCCTTGAAAATTACATAGTACTCTATTCTCGGTCTCAAAAATATGTCTTAATCATCCATATCGCTATTAAAAATACATAGAGTACATTAAATCGAATTTAACAAAATCTCACATGAGTACATTATATTTTATACAGTAGCGATAGTTTATTGTCAAAGTCATACATTAAAGTACATACATTTTGGGTCTCCACCAAAGAATTAGGCATGCAATGGCCTAGTGATAGAGACATAGTGAATCTCATCTAAGAACTTACAAAAAGGTGTGAAAGAGAGCCACAAATATTTAGGTATATCAAAATTGACTAGACAATATAACGAAGATAAACAAGAAGGAAAAGTAGTAGGAAAGAATTCGAGACCCCAACCCCACCATACTTAACTTTGAAAGTTGGGTAGGTGTGAAAATGATATTTTGCTGCCCATAATTGGAGCACTTTTCTCCAGTTGTTTTGACACTCATTCTGAATCTCTCAATATTGCGCAATTTCAGACTGTTCGTAGTTGGTAAGATGGTACCCCGTCTTACAAAGTTTGCACTTCAAGCTCAACCCCAGCAACTTTTTTCTTGCTTTTCTGTTCTCATCTCATATCGACATCGCTTTTGATGTAGTTTTGACATTGTTGTGGATATAATAGTCTCTGATATCGCCCTTGGCTCATAGTTGTAGAGTCGTAAAGAAAACTACTGAAACATATATCGGCTATATTTTATACTTTTTCTGTCTAGAATTAATTGTTACTTTCTCAGGTGCTCGTAATTAAGAACTGGGCCTGTTTTCTATGATTTCCCAACATCTTCAATAATTGTCTTTTCCCATCCTCATTTCACTTTATACAATTCAAATATATGACCACTTTTTTCTACATATTCTGAATCAATACAACTTGACTATTAAATCTGAACTGAGGGAGTATAATATCTATAAAGTTTGAAAAGTAAATATTGTTTCATTTTTACATAAGGTTGAAATGTTTCAATGTAAAAAGACAAGGTCGAAATATATTACATAGAAGTTGCTCCAATCTCACTTCCTTTGCTAAACCTACTCTAGAAAAGAATCATGACTGTGTAACACCGAGAAGAAATCCAACACATTAGAGGCTACACTGCAAGCCTGATCAGAAGGAAAACTAAATACTATAAGCCAAAAACATGCCTATTACTAGGTTGCTCAATTGGATGAAAGAATTAGAGAAGTAGAAAGTACCATCTACTACTAATGAATGATAATCAGGAACTTTGCTGAGCAAGAAACTTCAGAAGGTCCCAACTCTTCTGCATGTGTAATGGCAAGGGGGCTACCAAGTTTACGCTCTCCAACTTAGAGAAGTCATAATCCGAATCAGGGGAGACATGATCAAGAGCGAGAGAAATGTTCGGCAAAACCATCTGTTTACAGTGCAGATGTAAGTGGGGTTGCTTTTCAGTTATACTACCGCATTCTGAATTGAGGCCAAGGGGATCTGGTTTTGCTTCTACAAATTTCTCGTTCGGACTTGGTGATAAAGGTTCCCATCTCCGATGAGCTTGCCAACCGTATTTGTAGTCTCCAACAATAGGTGTCCCTAGAACTTCAGCACAATGTACTCGAAGCTGCATTTGGCAATTTGATAGGAGGGAGTAATGTTAGAGTAATCCTGACACGGGGAAAAGACCATATTCAGGAGCAAAAATGTCCATCAGAATTTACCTGGTGTTTCCTGCCAGTGGCTGGGCATAACTCTAACCATGTATACCCTGGGAAATTATCAGGAAATATAAAAATGTCAGTGAACCATATTTAAGTCTCCTCTTTGATCAGCACGCAGGAACAAAATCCATTTAGAACGAAAACCTTTTATGCTAATAATATAATATACCATTAGCAGAAGTCTCAATGACTCTATACTCTGTAATAGCATGCTGGGATGAGGAAGCACGGTCTGCAATAGTAATTCGTTCTGACTTTCCATCATCTACCAACACCTAAAATAATACAAAGCACAAGTGAATTGATGAGTCTCAATCGTTAAACTAGCACTAATAATTATTCAAACACAACCACCACATATAGATAACACCAAAAGTAGTCAGATGATGTGAAGATATGATGGTTAGGAAAGAGGAGGAGGGGGGGGGGTGTGGACAGCAAAGAGGGTTGGATCTCAGCTTATGTGCAATGATAAAACAGAATGATAATCTAATACCAGTTCAAAAACAGTGCTTCCACAAGGTCATGATATGTAAAATTACAAAAGTAGAATCTATGGAGGTCCAAATGTCCAATTTCTTAATGTTTGACAGGCAGGTAAGCTCCATTGTATCAGGATTACAAACAAACAACTAATAATGTCTGAAATATATCTAAACACTAACAAATGATGAATCCATCAAAATAAAAGAACACAAGCTACAACCAGAAAGAGTGTGGTACTGCCGTACTAGTTATGTCTATATACGAGTACCTATTTTACACCCTTTGCAATAACATAACGCCACTTTACATAACTAAAAAAAGAGTTGAAGGGCCAAAACAAGATTGCTGTGTGGGAGCCATCAAAGCAGAGTGATATGGAGCAGTGGCTTACATGTGATTGTGAGACCACAGGTAGCTAGGTCTAAGATCAGTAACGGTTCCTCTTTCAACACAAATCTTATTTCAGAAAATGGGTTAAATTTTTCATGGGGCTGATTCTACTTCATGTAGAGCAACCATAAGAGAACCTTTCCAACAGATGTGTGTTTGCCTCACAGGCACAACCTTTCTAATAGGGTTAATCAATGCCATCTTAACGTACACTATATGTCTAAAAATCAGTGGAAATTCAGAGACAAGAGAACCTCAAGAATTTTCCACACATTTTAAAGCATGACCAGAATGTAATAATGTAGCTGAAAAAGAGGAGTTTAACCGTAATGGAGAAAATGTGACACCACAACAAATGACAGACTGAGTACAACCTGATCAATTAAACATTATAGGAATATATATAAATGATAAATGATAGATATAAGAGGTTAATGACAAAAGCAAGCACCTTTGCTAGTGGTACTGAGATCAATCCTTTGCAGTGTTTAGGAACTCCAAAGACAAGTGCCAAGTATCTCTTTTGTAGGATCATCTTCCCCCAGTCAATCTCGTTCTGAAAATTAAAATTATTTCATCTCTCTTATTAGCTATAACAGTTGCTTCTCACAGCAATTTGAGGAAAAAAAAAACCTTGAGATTAATGTTTTATGTGATGGCCTGTCAAGAAAGAACACTACTAACGTTGAAAAATACAGCAACTTACATTTTCCAATGTACCAATAGTTTTCTCACGGAAAACAGAGTGAAGGATTGCTGTGCTTGTTTGTGTTCTTCCCATCACCAAGATTCCACTACTATCTCTATCAAGTCTGTGTACCTTAAAAGAAACATGAACTTTTCAGTAAGACTTATTTAAACAAGAAAGCAAGACAAATGATAGATGATTCAGTGGTTCAGCCTTGTTCTGAGACTTAAACCACAGATACATAGTATCTGCTTCTATCTAACCTTTACATATTCAAGATAGCCTGCAAAAAAAAAAGAAGCCGTGTACAATATCTCATGAGTGTTAACACTCCCCAAAAATTTATTCTCGCTCTTAAAATACTACTTCCAAAGCTCCAATCAATACAAATGAAGTACTTATAATTTGAGTTCTTACAAATTGGCCCACTTTCTTTCAGATATAACATATTACATTTTTATTCAATCCTTCCCTAGAGACTACTTCTTAGACAACATCCCTTACAGCAGAAGCAGTGGCGGATGTAGTTCGCATGATGGGTATTATGCATGTGCATATTCCTCATGCAAAAAGAAAAATAGTTCATAAGTTTACACGATGAATAATTCTCCTATTACACCTAGCAGCTTGTCACAAATTTAACACAATAGTTCATAAGTTCCCTCTTGACTTTGCAGTTCACTTCATCAACACTAGAACACACCATGTGTTCTACCCAACTTTGGACATTAACTAGCAGCAATTCACATGACACCATGACCACGCAATGCCAATATACCATTACCGCATCACTTTTAACAACCATCCAGTGCGGGATATATTTAGGGAGTTTTGACGTATACACTTTACAAAGAGGTAGTTCATGTTAGAATTGGAAAGGAAATATAACTCACCAGCCTGGGAGGTTCCTTGGACTCATATCTCAGACACGTAGCAGCCAATTCATCTAAGCTCTTTTTTATCCCAATGCCACCCTAAAAATGTTGATCACAGTAAGAGTGAAGCAAGGATGCATAGTTTCTTACATATCACAGCTGCAGATGCAAAAATGTTCAAGTTATACCTGCCCACATTACCTGTACTGGCAGTTTCGGGGGTTTATTGATAGCAATAATGGCAGAATCCTGAAAACACACCATACCAAGAGTC